CGGCAGGCGTCCTTGAAAAGCCTGTCACAAGACTTGGGAAAGTATGCCATGCTGAACGCACTGAAGGATCAGTCGGGGCAAGAAGCTCTGCCTCGAACTGACGAAGTGGCTGGGAGCTTGGCATGGCCCTCAGCCAAGCATTGACGTGTCTTCAAGGTTTTGAAGTGGCGCTGGCTCTCAAAGTGCCAGGCTCTTTGTCCAGCTTTGCGATGAAATCCTCAGATCTTGTGACATGTTCACAAGCTCGTTGCGACAGGCCGGTGGCGAGAATTCCGAGGCCAGCAACAGGTCCGCTTTGGTAAAACTTCGCTACGATGTGATACAGTTATGCAAAATAACAGAGCTGGGGCAGTGGAGCATACAATCATGCATGGCAATCCTGGCACCCTCAACCACAGTAAACTTCGAAGGCCAACTGCAGGCAAGGACTTAGGAGAAACAGCGCCACTCTTTGTCCCCCAACCCTAACCCCACGTGAACATCTCAACCCATTGATCCATCCAAGGGGCTATCATCGAGAAGGCCCCAAGAGGCTTCTCCGACTCCCTGGACCTGGCTCAGCCGAGTTGCCACCATTGGCTAGCATTGCGCATTTAGGGTTTAGGGTTTAAATGGTTATTCATGTATGGCTGTTGCTAATGGGCAGCAGTGATTATGATGAAAGCCATCATTGCTATTGATGCTCTTCTTGTTTTGGTTCTTGGTGCCCAGCAACGGTAGACTCATGACTTTGGCTTTCAAAGCGGCGCAGCTGTACGTAGCTGTCGGCCTCCTGCGTCTAGACTTGTCTACCTTTGATGGCGCCCTCAAGCCCTCCGCTTCTCATCCGGCTTTGCCCATCAGAAGCCAATACAGATGACGTGCGCGAATTTTGGCCTTCTCCTTATCGGCCCCTGCTTGAATAAGAAAACGCACGACTTCAAGATGGCCTTCCTCGGAAGCTACGGACAGCGGCGAAAGTCCAGTCTTGCTTGACTTATCCTTGTCTGCACCTGCATTAACCAACACACGTGCTACATCCAGGTGCCCTGCCTCACATGCACAGAACAAGGGAGACCTTCCGTGCTGATCGGCTTCGTCCATGCACGACCCCGCTTCAATCAACTTGGCAACGACTTCACAATGCCCTTTCTCAGCAGCAATCTGCAAAGGCACCGCTTGCCAAGAATTAGCCTTATCGATGTCGGCCCGGCGCTGTATCAACAGCTCAAGCACACCCAGCTTTCCTTCTGCTGCCGCAGCTGAGCAGGGAGATGTTCCATACATGTCGGGCTTGTCCTTCTCAGCACCTGCTTCAACCAACAAGCGCACAACCTCCAGATGCCCGTTTTCGCAGGCTGCCAGCAGGGGTGATGTTCCCCAAATATTGCCTTTCTCTTTATCAGCCCCAGCGCAGACAAGCAAACGGGCAGCTTCCAGATGACCTCTCTGTGCAGCGGCCAGCAAGGGGGGCGATTCCCCTCTGTCATTAATGGTCTTATTCACGTCTGCTCCAGCTTCCAGAATCAGCTTGATTATGCCGTCATATCCGTTACAAGCAGCCAGGAACAAAGCCGTTCTTCCACATGAATCTGCTTCATCTGGATCCTGAGGTTTACCAAGCAAAACACGTACAGTTGCCTCGTCCTCCTGGTCAACAGCAGACATCAACTCCTCTGTAAACGCCGTGCACGTTGGTACAAGAACCAGCTGCACATGTGCGGCACCTTGAGAGCCGTCCGTACGTGGAAAATCTCCACCCTCGCACAATACTTGCCCTTCGCACACAAGCTGCTGGCGAAACGAGGGGACTCCCACAATCTCCTGCAGGTGCTGCTTCAGCGATCTCAAGGTGTTGCCTGAGCTGAAAAAGGCGTTGATGCTCTCAGCATCGAAGCAGGCAACCTCTTGCCCAGAAACGAGGGTGACTTGAAGCATGCCTATTGCGCTCCTTACATCGGAAGACTATAGTGGACACCGCACGTGCCTTGACGACACTTGCGTTATCATGAGACAGGCTGGCAGCTCTGACCGCATCGGCCTACTTCTCTGTCCTAATCGAAACGAGCCAGGTTGTGGATTGAAGTCGTGTAAGCATGACAGCTCTCGTCGGATCTGAGCCAACCGAACAAAAGACTCATCAATCATGCATTCGCGAGTGAGGTGGCCGGACTGGAGCTTAGTGCTAGTCGCTGCGAGTCCTAGCATCTAACTCTTGGGATATCGCTTCACACACAACTCGTACATTCCGTGCTGAGCTTGTGCTACCGGCCTGAGGTTCACCGATAGAACGTTTTGCTCTTCAGCACCCACCACGGCCACCTTTATCACACGAAGTTCAGCTTCACTGTTTGAGAAAGCTTGGGAAGCGCTTTCGACTGGTACAAGCGCCCTGCATAGTTCCACTGTTCGAGCTGCGCCTCGCGCACCTGTGTGCAAGCTTCGGCCACAAGCTCTTCAACGCGAAGGCGCACTCTGCTCTGCTCTTTCTGGTTTCACCAACATCTCGAAGACAGATCCATGATGATGCGCATGTGTGTGTGTGTGTGATCTGTCTCCCTCTATTCTTCTCGCCGGCTGCTGGTCCTGAGGCCGGGGAAGCCGCGCCACACACTGTTTGTTGCGCGGGAGCCCGCGAGGCCGGGAGTGAAGATGCGTGAGGTCATCGTCGTTCGCAAATGGCTCTTTCTGTTAGGTTCTTTCGTCCTGCTCCGGGAAATTTCAAAAATTGACGGTCGAGCATGAAGATTCAAGATTCCCGGCACGAAGGACAGTGAACTTTTGTGCTAAATGTCAGAGAAACGCATGTGCACATGGGTGCCTGTCGGCAGAGGATACCATATCCATATCTGAAAGGTCATGTTTGCGTGACTTGGCGCGTAGGTCAGTATGTTTAATAGGTCCTGCGTTTACGCTCACTCAGCATGTATCTACAGTACTAGCAGAAAATGTAGCTGGTTCTTGTTTCTGTAGTCCTCTTGTGTGGTGTACACAGGAAACTATCTCATCGTAGGGGCAAAGGGGGTCTGAATTTCGATTACGCCTCTAAGCCTCTAAGCCTCAATAATATCCTTGCTGCCTGGGCGCTCCGACACGCTTCTAAGCCTCTATAAGCCTCTAGGCCTCTATGGCCCCACCTGGCCGCTCGCACGCCTCTAAGCCTCTAAGCCTCAGCCTCTATTCTTAGACGCTGAGACGCTTAGGAGCTGAGGCGCTTCACCTGGCCGCTCGCACGCCTCTAAGCCTTTAAGCCTCAATGTTTCCGGCGCGGCGTGTTTAGGCGCTTAGGCGCTGCGAGGCGCTTGGACGCCTGGACGCCCCTACACGCTCCTGGGCGCTAACATGCTTTGACACACGGATACAGAAGCTTGCAGGCGCTTAGGCGCTTTTAGGCGCTTCTAGGCGTTTTTAGACGCTTAGGCGCTGTGAGACGTTTGCACGCCCCCAGGCGCTAACATGCTTTGACGCGCTTAGCGGCTTGTAGGCGCTTAGGCGTTTTTAGGCATATATGCGCTTGTAGACGCTTAGGCGCTGTCAGGCGCTTAGGCGCTTTTGTGCGCTCAGGCGCCTTTAGGCGCTTAGGCGCTTTCAGGTGCTTAGGCGCTTTTAGGCGCTTTTAAGCGCTGAGGCACTTTGACGCGCTGGTAGTGTGCGGGAGTGTATATGCGTGCTTGGAGACGCTGATGCGCGTTTGCGCGGATATAGGCTGGAACGCGCTGAAACGCTGGAAAGTCTGGGGGGCGTGCATGCGTTAAATCCACACACTCGTTTTGAGGGTTGGATCCTTGGGGGCTGGATCAGGGGGGTTTGAAGGCCAAAACCAATTTCCTCAATAGTGCAGTTCAATATACCGATTTAAGGTTTAAAGCTGTTGTAGTATTAGCTTATTTATGTATTTTATTAGGAATTTCAGTGCCGGGGGCACGGCCGTTGACCAAAACATTTTAAAGCACACTGGGAAGCCAGCGTGAGGAAACCCTTTTTTGCCAAACATTTTTGCATTTGTCCAAGCCGGAAGTATTGAGCGATGGTGTTCGCTTCTGTCCAAGCCGGATGTGTTGGAAGCTGAAACGTGGTCCTTTGTCACGTGCCACTGCTTGGTTGGCTTGGTTGCTTGGTTGGCTTGCTTGGCTTGCTTGGCTTGCTTGTCTTGGTTCGACTCGCCCTACCCATCCTGCACGCCCAAGCTCAGAGTGGTCTTAGAGACCGCTCCAGTCGGGCTCGGACCACGTGAGCAATGGGTCCTTGATCCGTGCGGGACAGCGTCGCTGGCCGGGCGTTGGGGATTTACTCTGTGTGCTGCTCGCCTGTCCAGCCAGGTGGTGTGTCCGCCGCGGGGTGAAATGCACACAGATTGCAGGGAAGGCCTCGCTACTAATAAATACTATGCCACGTACCCACACCACGGTCGAAATATTAACTTCGATCACTGCTGCTTGCCGGCATGGCCCCGCATGGCATCTTATGCTGTGCCTCATTGACAGGTCTTCAGTAACCGGCGCGTCGCGCAGCGATTCCGGTGCACTCGATGACGAGCATGACCTGTCCTCTTGCGGGCCGGTATGCAAGGCAATTGGATTTCAGTGATTTCAGCGCTCCGCATAGGGCAAAGAAGGCAAGCACGACGGCCAAGGCCCTGATTTGCCGGCGCATACTCAGCAGGGTGACCCCATCTTGGCCGAATGGGGGTGGCATTTAAAGAAGTCTCCAGTCCGCATGACTGTCAGAGCACACTCGTGTTTGCAAAGACGCTGGGGAGGCCGTTACTGTGTCGGCATGGCATTGCTTGGCTTGGTTGATTCGATTCTGCAGTGGCATCAATGCTGGTAGCATCAATCAATTGTGGTAGTCAGCATGGCATTGCTTGGCTTGGTTGATTCGATGCTGCAGTGGCATCAATTCTGGTAGCATCAATCAATGTCAATGGTGGTAGTCAGCATGGCATTGCATGGCTTGATTGCTTCGATTGTTGCGGTGGCATCTGATTCGATTTTGCGGTGGCATCAATTCTGATACCATCAGTTCTGGTAGCAGCAACTGTGGTAGTCAGCATGGCATTGCTTGGCTTGGCTGATTCGATTTTGCAGTGGCATCAATTCTGGTAGCATCAGTTCTGGTAGCATCAATTTGTCAATTGTGGTAGCAACAATTGTGGTAGCGCTAATTATGGTAGCATGATTTGCGGTAGTATAACTATTGTGGTAGCATCAATGGCAAGGTCTGCCTGGCATGTTTTGACAGAGCCGGGGGGGGGCAGGGCTGGCATGAAATTTGCATTTTGCCAGGTGAAGTCGTTTCAGAAGGCATGTGAGTGATATTTGCGCGGAAGGCTCAGTGAGTGTGTGTGTGTGTGTGTGTGTCAGCTTGCGTGGTGATTGATTGTGAGCCCCTTGTAACCTAATGCTGCAGTTCTGGCTCAAGTTGTGCTATGTCGAGTGTGGCCCTCCAGCATCGCCCTGAGGAATTGTGTCTCGAGGAGCAGGGCCAGGATCTCCGGAAAGCACAGCAAGCAATCTACTTGCTCTATTTGCTCTGCCCGAGAAAGGCTGTTGATCTTGTGACACCTGAAGTACATTTCAGACAATTTCCAATTGAGAATAATTTGCTACCTGACATGTCATTGTTTCAATGCAACAACATTTGAGGAGATCTTTCAATCGGTCAAAAGGCGGCATCAACAAACCAGAAGCCTGGATTCTGTCAGCCTGTAACAACAACGTTAGACAGCACTTTGGCAAAGATTCATGCAGCCCTTTTTTTTGCGCTTAACCTTTCATCATTACAATTCCGTGTTCATTCGAGGCACAATCAAAGCTTGGGGATAGTATACAGCCAATTCGATGTCGGGAACTACAGCAGCAAGAAAGCAGACGCCTCAACGAAAAGTTCCGGTGACTTGGGGCGAGGCAAAGAAGAAGACGACTCGGACGATTGGGGACGCCAGTGGAAGGACCCCGAGAGAAACAAGAGACCACGAACCGGCTATTGATGCTACTGATGATGTGAGCTCTATTGACAACCCGAGCTCTTCGGCAGCTGCCTCCTGCTCCAACACTTCGAGGTCAGTTTTCCTGGGCGGCAGAACCTACGTTTGGCCGAAGAGAGTGGTGATCGTTGGTTATGGGGTTGCCCACCATGGAAATCGTCCATCACGTCAGATGACAGACTTGTTGGAGAGGTTGGACAAGGAATGTAACTTTTCTAACACATGGGAGGTTCGCTTGCAGCAGTCAATGCACGTGTCGAAGCTTCATGACATTTGTACATTTTTCATTCATTTCAGTTTCACTCAATTGACAATTGAGGGCAGTGACAGTGACAGTCATGGATGGAAGCCAAGGGAGGCCGAAGGAGGAAGGTTTGGCAGAGAATGTGGCCTATACCAGCATATCATGGAACAGGTGCCTGGTCGAACAGGTGTTGCTTCATGAATCGAGTTGTATAATAATTAATTTTAATTTTAATAATAATTCACCCTAATGACCGAGGTGTATCGTCATCCCGCAGCGCTCAAGACGCTCCACTTCATCCTCAATTTGCCCGACAAGTTGCTCAGGCTTCTCGAGTCTTTGAATGCTGAAGGTCTTGGAGGATTTTTTAGGTTCAGGGACTAGGATAATTATAACCCATTATGTGGTCCTTCAATTGTCAGGATCTGCTGTTCGGCGGGCTACCACAGGACGTGTGCCATGATTGCGTTGGTCATGGCTCTCTTCCAAGTCGCTGTGCTGAATTGACTCATTGGTCCAGGTGACACTCAATTGTCTAGTTTTTGTAAGTATCAGCTGTCAGTGCAGGTCTGTGGCATCGAATGCGTCGCATGGTTCGACACTTTAGTCCAGAAGCACAGAAACAAAGATCACAGTGCCATCGCTGCCGATCAACAGCACAATATCGACTTCGCCAATGGCAATCACGTGTCGCTGAGCAGCTTCAGA